TTTTTTTTTTTGATGATTGGTTGAAGTGTGAAGCGTATAAGTAATGTTTTTTCAGAGGTAAAATGCCCTCGTGCGAGTTTTCCATATTTGAAAAGTTCTGTGCTTTACATGCGCTTACGTCACAAGAGCTTTACAGTCAGTCCTTCACCCTTTGTTAATTTGTTCATTTTAATCTTTGTTTTCCATAAATCAATTTTTTTTCAAAACTTTTTTTATCTGGTCAACTTGTTATGTATTCTTTCAGATGAGATTCGTAAATTGTGTCCTTCGTACGAGAAGCTGTTTCAAGCAATAGATGATGGAGACACTGCTACTTTTCAAAAATGTTTTTTCGATGAAGAAGTCCATTTATCAATTCCAGTATTAGTTGCTGCAGCAATAATTTTTGAGAAGGTAATTTTTGAAAAGCTTTGCACTAATAATCTCGCAAAGAAATTTAGGACATTTTTTAGGAATTGGTAGTTTTAACCTTGTTAGTTTCTTAGTAAAAGTGGTGTTTTGCTGTAGAGTTTATCTGAAGAAATGTTAAAAGCTCTCGACAATGTTCGTCCTCGTCATCAATTAGTAGAAGTATTCCCTCCTGAAAGAATAATTGATCCGAATGACGAATTCTCTTATGATATAAAAGATCAGGGGGAGAAACTCCTAGTGCGTCATGATAATTTATCGAAGGTGCGTTTTATAGGCTTTTTTTGATGTTTTATTCGGTTCGTCTGGATTTTATTATAGAAGTTGAAAATTTGTTGTTGCAGCATCTTTACGAGTTACTTGCTCAAAGAAAAGAAGCATTTAAAATGCAGTTTCAAGAAAAAAATGTGGTAAAAGATCCGTATGCAGAAGAGGATTTCGTGATGAGCGAAGATTGAAACTTTGCTGAGGGAGTAATTTAATTCTAGCCAGCTACTGAACCTGTATTTGGCTTAATTGTGGAGATTATGCCATGCTTTGTATGTATTTTTGTGTTATTTTTTTCCAATGTCCTGAAAGCTTGGCAGTTGACCAAATTATTAGTTTTTGGCGACATAGAGAAAGACTAGGTTTAGAGTATATATATATAT